TGATGCGTGTATAGTCGCCATAAAAGCATCGAACTGACTCTGCATGCAGATAGCGTCACCAGGTGAATTTGTAGTGAGACAGTGTCATATCAACCAAACTTATCACCAAGCCCCAACGTGACTTGCCCAAGATAAAGTTGCTTTTCATTTTGATATTGCAATTGCATTGAGCTGAGCAGACACGTATATCAATCGGATAATTGTTGAGAACACCATTAGGCCACATTCCTGTACATACAGCCGCGATTGCCTATGTTACCAATGTACTGTTACCCAGCACTAAGAACAATATGGTTGACTACATTCGTTTCAAGTCATATTTCCATTCATGGTATGTGTGTACAAACATATGTGTATTGCCTATTGTATGTATGCTACACAGAGCACTATCCCACCATGCCACTTGTTAGGCACTGTCTCTGAAAAACACATTCCAACTTACGGTGTTGTAAATGCACCATGTCCTACTTGAAACCCATTGCTTTGTAGCATATGGCCCCCTCAGATTTCCATTTTTATTTTTGCTTATAATATATTATTTGAATCCAATCTGTCTTAATAGAAGTCCTACACTGCCTCTCTCATGGAAAGATAGGACATGTTTGTGAATATTAGCTACGTGTTGGTATTCAGAACGCTAAAAATAACGGAACCGTGACAAATATTTCACTACGTGTTCATTAATCACTTCGGCGCTTGCATTCAGTCTCGTTAATGTAAAAGTCAAAACCTACGCAACAACATATGGAACAATGTTAGGTTTGTCTTGGTGATATTCATGAAGTCAAAGGTTGGTACGCTATAATGGTAAATAACTAATCGTGCAAGGGCCATGAGACCACAACTTAACGAACATATTCTCTTGAATTAACAGCTAAGCTGATTATGTATTATACAATGAGATGAAACTAGTGACGCTTCCATCTTGATGAAACACAGCATATTCTATTATGTTATAATATGTTATATTCTGCTTCGTTCTAGTCACTTAGAAGTAACTATATATCTTACCATCTGTTAAGAACAAAGTCCTGGCTTTAAATACAAAACGTATGGTCTTATACAAAACAATTCGGTTTGTTGTTTTCCCATTAATGTTTGTCTACAATCCATTGGATTGTTGCAAATAAATAAACTTCCCTGAATGGCTTGCATGATTAGTTTATGTGTAATAGACCTCAAATCCATATTTATAATTTTTAAATTGACGTATTCTATTTTCATCTTTACATTATATTCAAAAAAATGTTGATTTTTTTCAGTAAACATAAACCACCCGCATGAATTCCCACAACGGCTGGTGTGATGATTTCCCCGCTAGATGGAAGTGATTTTTTTAAAACATTCTGTGCGAAATTGAAGTGGCGATACAACTAGTACTTGTACACTAGATACTCACCTGTGAAATCACTTACATAACGAATAGATGCTAATTATATGCTAATCCATATAGTTTTCCCACTCTCTAGCCAATAAAAACTGCTTATTTGGATTTCGGTGAACATGAGGGTCTTCCGGGGCATGTGGTTCCGGGTGAATATTTTATACATTTCTCAAAAAACTTTCTTTTAAATTATTGTTGATAAGATGTTTAAACCGCCGAGTTGTTCATTGGATTTATCATAGACCTTAGAAAAATTACTTTATAAATGTCTATGGAGTAATGTTCAGTTTATTTTTTTATTGGATACTATTCTATTATTCCATTGATTAGCCACGGTTCAAGATACCTGATGTATAAGGATCGAGATGATCAGAGAATCTCGGCTCGCTCGGCTTGTAGTCGAGATATTTGGATATAGCTAGCTGCGGTTCTAAAGATAAGAAGACGAAACATTAGTTTTCCAAGTTCTATTGGTTTGGGGCGTCATGATGACCGACTAATCGAACCACCGAATACTCAAGTGTTCAGCAATAAATGAAGTCCGTAGGTCAAGTGACATAATTAGTTCTTTTTTATAGTATATTTCACGTGACCCGACTTGGTACGCCATGTGACTTGAAATAACTTATTTTATTGGATATATGCTTAATGAAAGCGTGGCTATTCTGGTCATATAGCATGACTGTAATACAATGTTCATTCAATGCAAGACGACGCTTTACGGCTTTATGAGTGTCATTACTGAAACAGTGAGGGGGGGGGGGGGGTAACTTACTTGTACCAATACGAGCGACGGTTATTTTGTCAATTTTCCCTATGTATGTGATGTGTTGAGGAGCTGTGATCTGGTCGGAGTCAATAGTTCATACCTAGTATGTCCATGTTCATACATAATTTAATTTCAGTCCCGTAAAATATAAGAAATCGCGCGAGTTATCGTGTGTTATTGTATGCGTCGTGAACTTACAATAAAACATCCACGACGTTCGTTTACAAAAAACAAATGATCACCGATCGATTTATACAACGGCGAAACGGGTTAATTGAAAGATCGTGCAAGTCATTACTTTGCCCCGTGCACAACGCTGAACTGAGGCCAATTTACGTACAAACATACATACAAAAGTTCTATTGTGCGCTTTGTCATTGCCCATTCAATACTCAGGATGGAATAACTTAAGTACGTTATTTTTTGTTGATTAATCAAACATATCCCCATTAGCTAAGACGCGTACGGTAGAAGCTCTACCTGCTGTAGTTGATGACGTGTGTTACAACCACACCGTTAGCTCGGCTAGTTCCAATAGTTGATGAAGAACATATGTGAGTTATTGAAATACCGGTTTATAAATTATGTTCAGTTACACTAGCGGTTTACAATCTGCATATGAACACAAACGTGGCGATTTACAGCATAAAACCATAAAGAGTTGCTTTACAGGATTATACCACGCGTGGCCACGTGACCTCCATTGGCTTATTTCTGTAAACCATTGATTCTTATGCAGGTTGTAAACCGGCAACAGAATGTGTGAAACCAATTTTGTAAACCACTATTGTAAATCAGGCCTTGGGCCTTGGCCAAGACTAGGTAGGTTTAGTGCAACGTCTGGAGTTGACGAGGAGACAGTATCTTTTTCCTTAACTATTGGACACGTTGGGAAAGGGACCGAACTGAGCTAGGATACAGGAATTAGAAGATTCACTTTAACTTGAAGTGGTATAACATCACAACGTGTATACTGTTTCAGTTTATACAGGTCTTGTGTTTATTTTGGCAACTCTACACTTGGACTTTTGTCTCCATGTAGATTTTATAATTGCCTCACATATTTTTCATATTATGCCGTTAACACTATATGCAATTTAACAATCGCCCACTTCTTTAGTTCAAGCATTATGTAGTTTATTAATTCTCAAATTTTTAAGTGCCTGGTATTACTGAGCTTCGCAAGGTTTGGATTTTCAGAGGTGAATGGAGATGTCCATATCAACTAATGAAAAAGTTAGCCATACCGGATACAGAACATGACGTTACTATTTATAACCAAGGGATATGATATACTTCTGGGTGTAACATACACGATTTGGGCGTGTAATACACTACACTTGTCCTTGTTATATAATAGACTTGTCCGTGTAATATAATAGGCTTGTCCGTATCCATATACACCCACAAGATTTTTTTACAAAATGGTAAACATACTTCACCAGCTCTAATCCCATCATCTCCATGTACCACCATAATATGTGCCATAGTGGTAGGCCTGATTATTGATGTTGAAAGGGACACCCACATAACTCATACTGGACAGGAAGTTATTTCACTGCTAGAATGGGGTAGACAAGGCAATAGTACTTGAGATGAAATACATGTACACCAAAGTATCAGGTTAAAGCTCCTGGTTTTAATACTTCTCAAAATAATTACAAAAAACGAAACGCAGAATAATACAATGTATAAATTCACTAAAATGGGAGAGTGCATAGGGAAGTGGGTTTCCACAGGAACCAATCAGAATGTGGTCTTGCTACCATCTGCCAAAAGATGACATGCAGACATTCACGTAAGCAAGTCAG